GGGAAAGAGAGCGGCCTCTCCTTCTAAGTTACAATCATGCTAGGCCCCTCATCGGCTTCTGGAAGGCATTTCCTTTCACTCCCCCGCCTTCTCTGGGATACAGGGGTTCTGCTCTCTCAAATCAGACTGAGGTGGTGGCTTCTTTGAACATTTCTCTACTGGGAAGCAGCCACTGCATTGGTTTGTGGGAGGTGCTGGGCCTCGCTGCTTCGGTGTTTTAGGTTTCATCCCATCAGATGTGGCTGCTGTCCTGTGCTTGGCCCTTGAAAGAAGCAGCTTGACTCTCCTGCCTCGGCAGGGCTGGAGCTCAGCTCTGGGGAAGGAGGACGAGGACACAGAGTCCCTCCCTCTCCTTGCTCCTGGAGAGATCCCATCTGTCCCTGGCAGGAGTCTGGGTACTGGAGACGGGAGGGGTGATGGATGACATGTTACTTGAGGAAGCAGATAACTGGGCCGAGGTTGGAGGGAAGTCAGGATGCCGATAGTCTCAACAGAGGCAAATAGAGAGAGTGGGACTTAGGTGGCAGTGGGTCAGAAGGCAAGGGCCTTAATTGCCCATGTTTCCTCCCTCAGGTCGCCTTGGAGATGCTTTTTACTGGGGAGCCCATTTCCGCTCAGGAGGCCTTGCTGCACGGGCTCCTGAGCAGAGTAGTGCCAGAAGAGCAGCTGGAGGAAGAGACCATGAGAATTGCGAGGAAGATCGCCTCGCTGAGCCGGCCGGTGGTGTCTTTGGGCAAGGCCACCTTCTACAAGCAGCTGCACCAAGACCTTAGAAAGGCCTACCACCTCGCCTCCCAGACCATGGTGGACAACGTGGCCCTGCGGGACGGGCAGGAGGGAATCAAGGCCTTCATCCAGAAGAGAAAACCCGTCTGGTCACACTGAGCCGGCCTTACCAGAGGCATGGAGGGCGAGTGAGCCCGGGGGCAGTGCTCAGGACTCCCCACCTGACCCCCGCTGTCCGACCGCAACCGCCAGTGCTGCCTCGTGACTGTAGCAGAAGACAGCCTGCCTCTATAACATTAGTAACAGGCCCGCTGCCTGGGGTCTGGTTAAAAGCCATGAGACCCAGGGGAAAGGAGTGGTGAGCACCTAAGCTGGGCCTATTACAGTAGAAAGCCTGAAACTGGACCGTAAGTGAGGGATCGCCGTGACATGGGAGAAGGTGGAAGAAGGATGCCAACCCGTGTGTGTGATCAGAAGTGTCCCGAGGTGAAGGTATTTCCTATGCCCAAGACACATGAAACATTTCAGATGTCCACAAGATGGTCTCCACACTACACATCTTCTTGGTTCTAAGGAGAAATAATCATGCCTATGGCTTTGGAATAATCTTAATTCATTTTAAAAGATTAAATAGTTAGAGAGACTGGCAATTGTATCTTCCCAACCAGGCTGTAAGCTGTCTGAGAAAAAAAAGAAATCAACTGATTTTTTTTTCTTTGTATGCCCATACTGATGGATGTACAGTAGGCGACTGGCAATATTTTTCTTTGCCAGTTTAGAAAGATTAAAAAGAAAATGTTTTCTCAGAAAGGAGGAGCTTGTTCTAAGGGTGCCCCTCCTAGAACTACAGCCTACCAGACACCCAGCACGTGCCCCGAGGAGCTGGCCCTGCAGCCATCTGCCCCGTGTACAGGAGTTGAGGCCCACTCAGTCCATGGAGCTGGAGTGGGCGGAGTGAGGGTTCCAGCCCCGTCTGCCTGGTAAAGCCCAGGTGCTCGTTCTGCTGGCGAGAGCCTGGGCTGATGGGGGACCAGACTAAAGAAATGACTTGCCTGCACCATGGCAGTTCCCCAAAGTAAGGGACCAGATCTTCCTTGCTACGGAACTGTGCCTGTGTGCGAGGGACGTCGGGTTTGATCACTGGCAGGCCACTCATGGAGTTTTTACTGCGAAGCCAATATAGAGCTGGCTGCAGTTATAAACTAGGTCGTGAGAGACAGGGCTGTCACGGTCTGCTCAGAATAGTGCCGTCAGCAGGGCCCTCCTGCGCCTTCTCGCTAGGTGGCCTACTATGGCAGCTACTGCTCGGCAGTTGTCGGATCACGCAGTGCAGAGGAGAGAGTGTTACGAACTTGCTGGGCCTTGGAGAAAGTAACAGGGCCTCTCACACGTTTGGCAAATGAAAAGCAAAAGTTAACTCTCCGGTGTCTGTGTGAGCTGCACAGTAAGTGCCTCCAAGCACGAAATCCTCGGGCCTGTGACGGCCTCCCAGCCTGTGAGTTGAGGTGCACTCAGGGGTTAGCTAGAAATCTTCATTGTCACCTGTGCAGAAAATAATCCAGAAGGAAAGTCTGCTGCCCACCCTCCGAAGTGAGGTAATTCACACCAAAGCATATGTAAATTTGGATTTAACCTGTATCTCTGCTTCCTTCCACTGGGACATTGAGTGAAACATTTCAGACAAGCACAAGTGCCTCTGCAAAGTAGTGTGTTCGCTTTTCCCTCTGTATCACTTACTTCTCAGGGAGCTTTGCTGAGCGCAGCCCCGTTGTGCAGGGGCTAGAAAGTCAGGGAAGAGGCAGCTCGCTGCCTCTCACCCAGTCGAGAGACCACTGCGAAGGCAAGTGGAGGGAATGGCTGATGAACTTCACACCAGTGAATCTGGGAACATGGTGATTTAATGAGCCTAACCTCGGGCTGCCAGGCAGCCCTATGCAGTAGCCCCTGGACCCTGGCATCTAGGAGGGTCCGAGAAGGTAAGATATTCACCCCGGGGGCGGGGAGAGGCAGCGTGTGGGTTTGGGCCTGCATGATTCTGAAGCCTGTGCTCCTGACCACCACACTCTACTCCCAACACACGGAAAGACTGCGTTCCAGCTTGGAGAGACAGACTACCAGTGTGCGCCAAGGAAGCCAGTCAGAAACTGCATCGCCAACGCAACACGGTTTTACTTACTGAAGGGGATTCAGGAAAAGCATGGATTTGAACACGAAGAACACCAAGTTCCAGTCCCAGGTTTGCCCTCAACTCTCTGTGTCACTGTGTGCAGGTGAGGCAACTTCTTTCAGTGCTCAGTTTGACCATCATAAACAAACAACAGGAGTGTCCAATGCACTCCTGTCCTCTTAGTTCTGACAGTCCAGATTCTGTGGTACTAGGATTGGGCACCTTGCTGTAAAACTTGAAACAGGCAGTCTCTGTTCACAGAAAATGCTTTTTTACAAATGGAGAATATGGGCATGTTACCTTTACGTTGAAAATACCTGATTAGATTTGAGAATAAGAAATCCATCAGAGATGCTCAGAGCTTTTTGGGACATGCCTGAACCTTGAGAAGGTGCCATGGCTAGGAAGACCCTCTGCCGGGCAGATCTCTACCAGCCTGGCAGTTCCCCGACTTCCATGCAGGTGCGCTACTCGGCCAGCCCCCTCCTCCTTCCTTCCTTTAAAAACCCACTGCACTAAGTGTTTTCACAGTGTGGCCCATGGATGATCTGCACTTTCCTGGGCTCCTTGCCAGACCTGCTAAATCACAAATTCTGGTTTTGGGGGCCCAAAAATATGCATTAAAAAAAAAAAAAGATTTCTGCATGTTTCTCCTGCACACTAAAATGTGTGAACTGCGTCAGGGTGGAGTGACATCTCCCTCCAGCAGCATCTGCATTTTAAAGGCTGAAGCAGCGAGGCTTCTGTGAGGAAACTGCGGGCAGCCGCCCGTCGGCTTGGACAGGACTGCGAGGAGCCTTGTGGACTTCTGAAACCTCTTAAAATTCTCCACTTGGGCAGCTGTAAGGGCCTCCATTGGCCCTCAACGCTCATGCTTTTGGGTGTCCCACCTCACATCACATTAAATATCAGAATATACTCATATTCCACACTGAACGCAAATCCCCTGTTTAGGGAAGGGAGCTGAATGATTTGCTTTTAAAAATTGTTTTGAAATATCTGATTAACAATGATTATTTCTTGGCAATCATCAAGTAGGCAAGAGTTAAATTTAACTATTGAAGCTGATGTGTTATAGTCAATAAAATATTAAATTTCAGTCTTGCAAGGGTTTTTCTTTCATATTTTAGAGCTCAAGGTTTATTTTTCAGGTCCCTAACAGAGGCCTATGGACTGCTGCAGGCCATCCATGCTATGCCTACAGTGTCCCTTGGATGGAACAGTCTAGCCTACACTGGCTCCGAATTAGGGGAGGTGGCTGTTCCACAGGAATATGGGGGGCAAATCAGGTGTTGTGAGGTTTATATTCCCAGCGTGCACTCTTCTGACATCCTCATTGATTTTACACAGATATTTCGTTCGGATCTCCCTGTGCTGCTGTCCAGGAATGTTTAAATACAAACCCTCAAAACAATTGGAAAGTATTTTTTTTACGCGTTTAAGAAATCTTTCCATTTTATGTTGCATGTTTTCAATATCTGCCTTACCAAATTCTGTGTTGAGATGAAAATTCCCAATTTTAGACATTGGTAAGAATTTAGAAAAAGAAAAAAAAGTATTGGTCAAAGTGAAGTGTGATTTAAAACTTGATGCTTAGATGTATATAGTGATTGCTCCGTGCCCCGCACTGTTTTAAGCATTTTGCAGATATTAATACTTTAGTCCTCACAAAAGCTCTATGAAGCAGGCTTTATGAACCCTATTATACAGATGAGAAATGGAAACACAAAGATATTAAATGATTTGCCTGTCATGACACAGCTAGTAAGGAGCATGTTTCAGTCAGCTATTTAACTTTCTGAAACTGATGTAGGAATGTGGTCTGAGAATTTTTAAGACCTATCGGTATGATGCAGCCTATACAGGAGAGTGGGGTTTTGAAGGCCAGGCTCTGGAGCATGGGTTTGTGATTCCTGCTCCAGGCCAGCCTGCTGTCCCCCTTACCTGCTTGTAGGTGGATCGCCACATTGCATCACTTTGCAGATACCTCTATTGTGCAGGAAGCATGTTAAGTTATTGTTTTTAATTCACAGTCTTGCGTATCATTCTCCCTGCCTCCAACAGGAGTGTGTTTCTGAGAGCCACATAAATCCTTGTTTTTTGTTTTTGTTTTTGTTTTTTGTTTTAAATTCTCAGAGCCGAGACACTATCCAGCACAGAGCAGACTTGTCAGGTCCAGTTCAGTGTGGCCAGGGTACATTTCCCCATACAGGCTACGTGATATAGTCAGTTTTTTTTTTTTTTTGAAATTCTCAGATTCCATTTTCTAAATCAGTTCTGGAAAGTTAAATAGCTGAGCAGAACATGAATTAAATCAGTGTTTTCATTGTCGGTCCAAGAAAGTTGTAAACAACTCTTTGTAAATGTAGGTCGATATTCTGGATGAAATCAGACCCAGGGGTTCTGTAAAGCCTGTTTATTTTCTCTAAAGCATAGTTGAAGCATGTTTTAGTCTTCAACCGCTTAATGCTTCTTGTGATAAAACATTCTTCACATAGAGAGATATGTGAAATATATGGTTGGTTGGCAAGGAGTGAAGATATCTAATAGATTTGCTCTGCATAGTAGCTATAAAAGGGGTTGATATGCTTACTTGAAACTTAAACCACAATTGTCTCATTTGTTACTATGCTAGGCACTATGGGATGGTGTTTTATTTTTTTTAAGTATAAGACAATTCTGACCCTCCAGGAGAGTCAGACAAGATACGTCACTACCATGTTACAATTCAAATACAAAACAGTTATCATGGGACAAGAGTCAGGTAGTTGGGTTGCCTTCGAGCCCACTCTTACGACTAGCCATGTGACGTGGGCCTAGTTGTTTAAACTGACCTCTCTGAGTCCCAGTTTCTTCATGGTTAAATAGGGGTGATAATAACATCTGCCTCCTAAGTGGTTGGCAGGAGTAAACTAAACTATACATATAGAGCAATGTTGCTGATGACCCACCCCACGCCCCTGTGACCATGACCCGCCTCCATTTCACCTGCAGCTGTGATGGACAATTCCCACAGGTAAGAGCTTCCCCATGTTGTGGACGGAATTGTGTTCCCTCAAAATTCGTATCTTGGAGCCCTGCCCCCACTGACTGTATTTGTGGAAGGGGCATCTAAAGAGGAAATAAGGTTAAGTGAGGTCATAAGGATGGAGCCCTAATCCTATAGGACTAGCGTCCTAATAAGAAGAGAGAGAGACAAGAAGGATGAGTGTACACAGAGGAAAGGCCACGTGGGGACTCAGAGAGAAGGCGACTGTCTAGAAGCCAAGGACGGAGGCCTCAGGAGAAACTAACCCTGTGACACCTTGATCTTGGACTTCCAGCCTCCAGAACTGTGAGAAAATAAATGTCTGTTGTTTCAGCCCCACCCCACCCCACCCCCAGGTTGTGGTATTTTATTACAGCAGCTTGAGCTAAGTCGCCCCCTCCAACGCTTTTGTCTCTGTGCCTTTCTGAGGGTGATTTTTGGCATTCAGGAGCTTGCTCAGCTTTCAACAGGCCAACCCAGAAGTGGGGGGAGTTAAGGCCTCCAGGGACACCCCTCAAGCAGCAGCAGATGGGAGTCCATGGATAAATGCCCCAGCCCCCACTGTCTGAGGGAACAATTCTGAGATGTGTGCTTTGTCTTCTCAGAAAGCCCCGCAGAGCTGAGCTCTGTTACCCACAGCACCAACCTGCCCATTCACGCAAACATTACCGGCTTCTCTCCTCCCCTGCCTGACCTTGGCCCATGTGTTCACTTGTGATAGCTTTGCAAATAAACAGCCTTCACACAGTCCTCGATTCAGGGTCTGCCTTTGCAGGAACCCAAACTCAGTGAAGAGGCAGATCTAATGATCTGCCTCAGCCACTCAGTGATCATCCCCTCCCCTAACGAAAAAACAAAAACAAGATTTATCAACAGAAGACTTTGAAGCAACAGGATTGATTGCTAAATGAACACCATAGGCATAAATTACAGGACTTGAGAGGAGAAATGGATTTTGACTCACTAGTAAGTAAATGGGATCATCTACATAAAGCTTTGGCTTTTGCAGCTGGAAAGGATCTTGGCTCTGAGTTAACCACAAACTGTGACATCACACAGACAACATCTGAGTAACTCATAAGATAGAGACCTGGCCAGTATTGGTACCAAAAGCAGGATCGTCTGACCAAAAGATGGTGTGACCACTCTACTGACATCCCTTAACCACTGTCACGGTAAGACATAAGTGTGCTACACTTCTGGAGTTTACGTTTAATAAACATTGAGCAGGTGTGTTTTCCCAAAACTCCTCTCTAGAGGCCCCTAAAGAAGGAATTTATGAGGTGCTACATCTCCAGTCCCTTCCTTGATGTTTATTGGCTTTTTGATGGATGTTAGAGCAACTTTTCTGTCAACAGCTTCTCATTAGGGGGTTGGTGATGTTCTCGCTGACCATTATTTCACTCAATATCATGCGTGGTCGCTGCGAGGAGAAGAGGTTCCACTCAGAAACCATCCATCTTTGCAGCAGCCCAGGGCTCGGCTAATCCCACTTAACTGCTCCTCCTGCGCTGACAGCCGCTCGGGGCTCGCACAGAGACCTGAGACAAACGGCCGGCCTTTAATGAGCAGCTCATCCTCTGGCATCGTGCCTCTCCAACTCCTTTAAGGACATATTTCAGGCTTAATTCTGTTTCTTTTTCAAATAAATTATGGAGAACTTGGTAAAACAATCACTAGGACTTACTTCTTAGAGATGACTGATTCTTGCTGTGAATGACGAGTCTGTCTTGGAAAGTCTGGAACTACTAAGTATTGAAAGAAAACGTCCAGTTTTCTTAAAGGACTGTTTTCTTCGCCCCTCAAGCGGGCTGTCTTAGCACAGTGATGGTGCAGGAGACGCCCAGGGTCCCTGTCACTCATTAGCATCAATGTCGACCTTCATATGGCCTCTTCCACCTTCCCTACCACCAGATACAGGACTCTAACCTGGAATGGCATAGATTTTTGAGGGTTTTTATTATGAACAACTTCAGACACATGGAAAAGTCGTGAGAACATGTGATAAACTGCCATGTTCACATTAACCAGCTTTAACAATTATCAGTGGATAATTCATCAATGATCCTGGCCAATCTCATATCATCTGCCCTCTCCCCGCACCTCTCCATCTCCCAGATTATTTTGAAGTGAATCCCAGCATCACTTCATTAGAACAGAAGACTCTGCTGTCATCCAGAAAATTCCAAGGGATGTAGGAGCTCTGTGTCAGGCACCAAAGTGACCAAATATTAGAACAAGAGATGCCCCTGGTGCTCTTACTACTGAGGAAATGACAAGGGCCTCTGTGCTTACAGAGAAGAACAAGGGATATTTAATCATTACCAAATAATTTCTAAACTTTGGGTACTATATAAGAAACAAATTTAGCCTATAAACCAATAGAACCCTGCCCTTTTAGGCAATTACATGTTCAAAGAAAAAAGTTGGTGGCCCCAGACACTTGCTAAATCAGAATGATCAGGATCAACTACTTGTTCTCAACACTTAAAGCGGCGGTCATAAAATTGTCCAGCAGAGGGCGATGGTAGCTAAGCTCTGGATAGAAATCCTGGACGCCTAACTTGCATCTAGGTGACTGAAAAATCACATATGCTTTTCAGTCCTGAGAAAAAAAGTAACTGATTTAACAGGTTATATAGTAAAGCTGGCTAGATGCCAGTTCGCCTGAGGCAGTGGAGAGGAAAAAGCTCATAAATATAGTTGTTTGCTTTATACTTTGATTTTTTTCAAATGGAGTCAGCTGACCTCACAGTGTGCTATAAAGATTGCTCCCCAATTTTTTACTCCGGGGATGGCCACGAGAGGAAAGTCTTTATATCAGAGTTTCTCAAGCTTGGCAAGATGGACAGTTTGGGCCGATAATCCTTTGTTGTCCAGCTTCGTATGCACTGCAGGATGTTTAGCAGCATCCATGGCTCCCACCCACTGGACACCAGTGGCACCCTCCCACCCAGTTGTGGCAACCGAAAATATCTCCAGACATTGACAAAAGTGCCCTAGGATAGGAAGGACAAAATCACTCCAAGCTGAGAACCACTGCCCAAGATAATTATCTGGGCTAGTTAGTG